AATGCGTAGACCTCTCTTGTACTGGTCGCCAGAGTGATCACTCGATGTAGTGCACTGATCTTGTTCATGATCGATTACATGCTGCTCTGATCAGTACAATGTGTAAGGTGTAAAATGATCACGTCAACAATTGCGACTATCACTATCGTTACCCTAAGCATTTTCATCATTCTTGATCACATATTCCTTTCATTTTTTTTGCTTCTTGGCTGATGATTGGCTTACAGGTCTAACGTAATGATAATAAAAACTGGGTGAGCATTGAATGCGAGGGCAGTATTTCGAAGAATGCATATAAATCATAATGTACTGCACGTTTTCATCAATGCAAGCAAAATTTACAACATCTTGCACAATATCGAACGAGATATTGAATAAATTGCATCGGTTTACATCCATTTGTCAATTAATCATATGTTATACATGGATATTGCATATAACTTTCGAGAAATTCTCTGCTCTTTTTACATTTGATTGATTCACATCGGAAAAAGCAAAATCTAATTGCAATTTTCATCAATTAATCACTTCGTTCGTACAGAATTAACTGAAGAATTTTGATTGTGCAGTGTGCTGATTTGTTGAAATGGAAATGCAATCTCAAAAATATCGTGCAATCGTAGACTTCGAAAAACACCAACTTGCATTGACGTTTTTCGATCTTAACGCCACCTCCACATGTCCTTGAGCATTCCTGATCGCCCAACCACGGACCCCAAACGCCTGTTTCGGCTTGACCTGATTTGTCGACAGTCACTGATACGTCACCTCCAACAAACACCTGATAGGCTTGTCGTTTTATTCGAAGTGATTCTGGATCAGCTTCTCTCGGAGATCCATGATACAAATAGACTTCACCGTTCTGCAATCAACACTGCTCTATATGTCTTGATCAGTCAGACTCTTAAGCAACTGCCTCCACTGCTTAACTGCCTTCGAGCACACTTTTGAGTGATTACAACCAAACATACATAATTAAAATGCCACTGGAGCACTGAATTTTCATTTTTAAGAAATAGGTTCAAAATTCACGAAACTGTCTTGCGTGTTCGACTAGGTTTGCTCCGGCTCACCATCTGAGAGGATGAACTGTCTGAGAAGAGACTCAAATGATCACCCACTCAGATTTGTGCCCAACTGAATTTGCTGAAGGTGATTCTCGAACTCAGTATACTCAGCTTTTTGAATGTTGTGTGCAACAAAGAATGAGTAATGAGCAGAAGCTTGAGCTAGATTCTGCACTTAATTTTCCTTAGCAATTAGACAACTGACGAGTGAAAAAAACAATTCTGCTGAAGTGGATCACATCAAGTGATATGAATGTGTATATCAATTACAATGCGAGCAAATTGATCAAAGCCAGCAGTCAATCGCTAGCTCACAGACACAAAATAGAATATTTTAGGAGACACTTTAGAAGGCGAGAATGAAGCATCGCAATGTGAATTAAATTCTATCATAGTTTTTCAAGCTTTGAAGTTTTTTCACTGCAGACGCAATTAATGACTAATTCCCCAAACTATCATTAACACCAAAAAACAAGCCATTATTTGCAGAGAATATTTCAAAAGTTGCAATCAATCAACTAAAAATCATTCAGTCATTCATTATTTGCCGAAAACACAAATTTTGTGCGGCGATTCACAGTGGAACTGAGAAACAAATGAGAAACAGAATAAAGAACATTGGATTCGATGATCAATCTTCGATGTGAAAACAATGACTATCAATTTTCGGTTTCTACGAAAATCTTAAGATTTTTCACGGAAAATCTTAAGCAAACGAGAGAAAGACTTGACGGTATTGTGCTAATTGTAAGCGATCGAAATGAATGATCTTCATTGTTTGTGTTTGCAAACACCGTAATCGAACGTTTTTTAGGCGTTTTCTTTTCGATTTTTTGGAGCAGAATTGATGTGTTCTTTGGGCAAAACGACGAGTTTTGTTCCTTTGTTCCTTAGTGAACGCAATGAAATGATTTTGAATAAGAACAAAGATGGTCTAATTGAGAAGTATTGTGTTGAGAGCACATTTAAATTTAGCTGAATGCCGCCGAAACTGCACGTTTGATGATAGAATTTTTGGCTTTAAACATCTTAATAACACATCTTTAATAGTTGTTGACGCCTTAGCATAGGCAACAACACTTTGAAATTCGCTTATGTGAGGATATTTTGCACTTATTTGATTGATTTGCTCTACTGATGACAAAAACATTGTTCATCGTGAGATCATCTCAAAATTGTCATGGACTCAGTCAAAGGTATTCGGCTGTATTTGTTGATTGAAGGCATTGGCCTTGCAGTTTCTCATAGCCAACTCTTCTGGTCTCATCCAAAACGACTGTTATCAAAGGTCAGTTATCGCTTACGAGTACGGCAGATTCATTTTCAGTGAAAGCTGCTGAAAGGTAAACTGACACGTTGGAAGCTCAAGTGAGTTTCATCTGAAGGATATTCAAATCTCAGAGCATAGCTAAACTTGAACCCGAAAAGTCTCAATTTTCAGAAGGGGTTCTTTTCATGCCGTCATCCACAGGTTTCATTATTTCTTTAATGCACGAACAACTTTCCTATGCAAATGACCATAGTACAGTGAACGTGAAGCAATAGATCTAGTGAGTGCGCATCAATGTGCAGTTGTACAGGCGATTTCTTTCACCACTTAACTGTACTCGACTGAATTGTGGTGTTTTGGAAGTTCAGGAAAGGCATTTTCAGGTTTTAGCAGTTGATTATCGAATGCTGCTTCACCAGCATCATCAACGAACAAACGCTATTTGATCAGTGTAGGCGGATGGATGGATCAGAACATTTTTAAGAGGTGATTTTAGCAAGCAGCATCGAAATCTTTAAAGTTCTTTAAAACTGATGATGCACGAAGTTATGAGTTATGAACAGCTGCTGCAAACGATAATATAATAAAATAAATGATTGATGATCGCATAAAAACATAACAACGAAGTAAGATGTGATGATGGGAACGACAAGTGTAATTACGTTTAGAAAGTGATAAAAAGCACGGCAACAGAGCTGTTGCAATTTAAATTAGCTGTTTGCTCAGAGAAACTTTTGAGGCATTCAGAATTTATCCCGCTACAGGAACCTGCGTCGTGAAGACTATAAAAACGCTTCAACTGCACCTGTTGATCTTTTTTTGTTCATGTGAAGGAAATTACTTTGGGGATTCTTATGAAACATGACGATAAAGTCGTGAATTTTGAAGCTGTTGCATCGTTGTAATGTTCTTTTTGTAGGTGACAAACAGTGAAGTGACAAGCAATTACATTCAGGTTTCTATGGGCTTTCGTGATCTTATGATGTGAGAGCAACCATCGAATATGCGATATGCTCAGCGCGTGAAGACGGTACGGATAAAAGAATGCGTGTATTTGCACAATGAAGCCTTTTCATATTTGAACATTTAATGAATTGCGAAGGAATCGCATTGTATTAAATGGAAAAATTCAGAGAATCTTTTTTTGTTGTTTTGCATTTTGAGCACAAACCTTTTCAGTTGAGAAGAACGGAATACTCCACGCGATCGCCAGCAATGGCAAATAAACAACAACTGCCAAGTTGAACAGCAGTTGCATGCTTTATTTGGATGGTATGGCGTTAACCCTACAATAACAACAATACAATTTAATAAAACGAATCGTCCCGAAATTGCTCAAAATAAAAACAACACGAAAAACGAATTTTTAATACAGAATACGAATCATCTGTAAAGGAATAAATACACTTAAGCACTATTGAATAAACAATACAATTGCAATAAACAATAATATCACATCGTCGTCACAACGAACTATTTCACAATCTAAAAGGGCAACGAATAAAATAACTAATTACTGGGTTATTAATAAGATATCGACTGACGATTTTACGTTTCATTATATATCCATCCGCACATTTCCTAATCTCATCTCCCTCCCCAACGCACTCATCCCAGTTCACACACCACAAGTAGGTAAGCTATTATCTGCTCAACCAATCAGCAGATGAACACACTCACAAAATGTTGCATCAGAGGTCTGGAAAATGCTTCTTAAGCGTTTCTTAAAATTCCCAAAAAAATGGCCAATTGTTGCAAAAACATCGATCGTTTCATAGTTACTTGACCTAGAGTGTATCTGATTTAACTGAATCACTCCGAAATTTTGCAATCAATGAAACGACTTCTTTTCAGTTATTTTCAGTTATTCTGCACCTCAACAATAGTGGTCTTCCGCATTTCGTGATAAATATCAAAAGATGCTATGAAAAAGAAGAATCGCAAGGNCTTAAACGAAAATTCAAAAACCAACGACATCGAGTATAATCGAGAAAGCACATTAATGAGCATCACATCAAATATAATAGCTAGTCACGCTGAAAGCAATTGTGGCAACGATCTCATTCTAGATGAACACTGATAATTTAATTGTGGCTTAAAAGATAACGGTGATAAGATGGCTAATGCAACAGGTAGGGTAGACTGAGATGAGTTAGTGTGCTAGCATTATCACCTCAATGAAACAATCGAATCGAACGAAGGATGTTGTTGTTGTTACATTTCACTTGAAGATAGAACGGATAGGATGCAAGTTAGGATTGCAGATAAGCAGCTTAACGTTGATAGTTTACGAAGCAAATTATAATTTTATTGCAATTGTAGATGCATAGAGTACGATAGAGCAGTTGATATTAAGAAGGAGAAAAATCAACGTTACAGATAAGAAAATGATCGTCGAAGTGATAAGGAAATATCATAAGCTTGCGTTGATAATGAGGACGGTGATGAGAAGAATAGCAGTGTGCAAATGTGAACGATTGATGATAAAAGCACGATCAATGAGTTGTTTTTGATAGGATTTGATGAAGTTCCGTGAAACTGGTAATGATACACTTACTTACNATTATCACCGTTATTGTTACTGAAATGACTATAATTATCATATCATGATCAATTGCTGAAAGTATTGTTCTATGTACACACATACAATTAGTAAATGGCTAAGTGTTGGTGGCGTCAAAATTGAAAGTTATAAGTTACAATTGAGCACAACACAAACACACACACAGTACTCTCTAACTAACTCACCTAAACGATAACTCAAACTATCATCCTCTATCTAATAAGCCTGTAACTTGGCTTAAGATAAGATTTGTGACCCTACGATATGAGTGAATGTTGTCTACGCTGTTGCTGTTGCCATAGGGTCAGCCACTATTCACATTTCAATTGTAGCATTCATCGTTTAGGACTGACTTATGCTCCTTCCTATATATCTTAGTCATCAACATATCCAATAAATCTATCGTCATATCTTCGTTTATTCTTCCTCTTCTATAAAACGCCGCCTGACGAGCGAGCATCAACTACAACTAGCAAACATATCATCACGTCACTTTACATTACCAATTCGTCCACCACCCTTCGTTAGCATATCCCTGTCTTCTATATCCTTTCCCTTGTATATCTATATGTACATTTGTATATCCCTGTACGTAAATATATCCCTACGTAAATATATCCCTACCCAAGAATTTGTCTATCCCTTATTGTAAGCATATATGTATACAAATGTTATTCCCGTTCAGTGCATTCCTCTGCCCATCCCATCAACACTTCTCTAATGCCTACCAACCATTCTTTTAAGCGTCCATCTCCACATTCAGCAAAGTATTACTTACTTTCTGACATACCAGCAGTTACCGTCTACATTGTTAATGTATCATCTATTGTTTGTTGATTACAAAACAATATCAAAAACATGCTCTAATTCTTTAATCTGATATTGTTTTGAATACAATTAATCACTGAAATGAGTGAA